TCGAGAAATGCAGTTTTTTTACAGACAGAGATCAATTACCTTGGCTCCGTCATCAACGCGCAAGGACGACGCCCTGACCCCCGACAAGATCAAAGCCATACAAGAGATGCCAGCTCCAGAAGACGTAAGTCAGTTACGCGCTTTCCTCGGTCTTATCAATTTCTGCGGAAACTTCGTCAAAGATCTACACAATCCACGCGCTCCGTTAGACGCCCTTACGGAGAAGGGTGCTGTCTTGCTGACTCACTTCAATCAGAATCTTCCGATCATTGTAATATAATAGCTGCCGACGCTTCTAATTTATTTGAGGCCTTGTATTTCTCTAGAAGCGCCAATTTCCGCAATTTCTTTGCCACCTGTGCATTATTCCGTGCGATCACTTCATTATCCATCTGAACCAAATATCCCAGAATTATCGTCAACTGTGCCTTTAATTGTATTAATAGATCAAAGAAGCACAGAAATCCATTGTATTCAAGATTATGGCGGAAGCGTGTGTTTATAGTAAGCAAAACTGCGCGTGTCCGAAGCTCTCAAGGAGTTTTGGATAAAGGTCACGTGTCAAAAAAATTCAGAGAGTAGAATGGCTCACTATCACGCGAGGGCCAAGGTCCTACGTGAGTTCAATCTTTCTGCGGTAGTTTCAGTAAGGACTATCCAGCTGATACTCATTCTTTGCTACGATCGATTGATGTGTAGTTTCGAAGAATCCACTAGTAGACCTCTCCTACATCATGTCTGTGCCCTAGGAGCCTCGAACTTCAGTAAGGCTGGTGACACAGTTGATCGTATAAATATGCGTTTTTATGATTTTTCAGGCTCCGAATGAAGAATAACATCTGCCCATCTGTGCGAACATTGCAGTTGTTCAAGAAACAAATCAATAATGTATCAATCAATCAGGGTTCCGTAAACACTCATAAGTGGGATAAGCATTTCACCTATATGAGGCTGTTGCAAAATTATGGGCTCCAGAATTCAGAAACTTCTAGGGTAAAAGCAATTTATCGAATCTTTTTTACCAGCTATGAATCAGTCACATAAGAAGGTTTTTTCGCAATCTGCATGGGTACTGGAGTGAAACTCCTAATATTTTTAGATGATCGAGGTTCATTTAATGCCACTTGCACCTGTTGGCATGTGAGAGGCGGGAGGGCATTATGAAATTCTTTTTGATTCCTGCAATATCCGTACAAAAAGGTGTTAAACGATACACAGAAGAAGAGAGATGTTTCTGGAGATATGACCATTAAAATCATCAGTTTACTGGTCGATCGCGATTTTCGGTGACCCATCACGAATACGACGAAGGAGCAGGGCTTATCGAGATTGCGGTGGAGCTGATTGTCAAGCCGAAGCATCAGTGCGACTCCAGTCTTGTGCAGAATAGCCATTCATTTCCATGTTCAATATAGAAGGTAGGGCCAAAAATGCAGCTGCAAATTGCTTGCTCACTCGAGTGGATCTACGCGAAACTTCATCGTTTTCTCCAGCTAAAAACTTATTACGAAAAAACCTTCTATCAACAATTGGTACGATTACGTTATAGCTGTGAACGTCGAACTTGCAATCTCTCACGATGACTTGTGCTCAAAGGGCATACTGATGGGCGTAATTGAGCACTGATCCTGCTACATCTCGTATCTCTGAGGAACCTGTGACACATTGCCGTGAATTGGTGCCCATAATTTCGGGGATTCGGGGCACCCTCTACCTACACTAGACGTTGTAGAGGATATCCGGAATAATGCGAAATCTTAATCAGAAAATTAGAAATGAACCGTGACTTCAGGAAATCATTGACTGCCCTTCACTATTTTAGGTGACCACGTTTCTCCCATATAGAGGGGATCCTCGACAAACGGAGCACGACCAGAGGGCGCAACGCTTTGGGAGTATGACTGATAAACAACATAAGACCAAGTCAGCTGCTGAATTTTTGACGGGTGCCTGAAGCGAAATTTTGTCGTGTTTGTCGATCTGTAGGTTCATGGGTGATGGTTTGTCCTTCTCTAACAGCGCTGACTGAATGATGGGATTATAGAGGTTGACGATAGCTATGGCTATCTAGTCCACGTTTAGCAGACCATAATGGATTAGTCCCTTCACTCTCCACAAAACTGTGAGACAATGCTTGCGCTACTTCATTGGCTTGTATCTCATGCAGTAGGGCGGTTCAATCACTTGTTGACGTTCGTTTGCTGAATAATTCATCCAACAAATAGGTTGCTTTCAGCTGCTACACTTGCCTTTTCCCTTGGTTCGCCCAGTAGAAGGTGATGGTACAAATCTGTACTATCCTGCGTACCCAATTGGATGAATTCATCCCGTTTAGCCCAACTTGACCCACCCCCTCTCCTACGCCCCCGTGAGCAATAAGTCACTTTCTTTTTTACTATCGTCAGTGTCCTGAAGCTGCTGCCTATAGTCGGACTCAATTCGAAAACGATACACACACTCTCAACTGAATAATGATGCGCACACTCTCAACTGGATAATGATGCACACACTCTCGGTTGAATGATCGGCCAACTTCATGACAGAATCGTGCGTTTCGGGTCTATGAACCCGATAAGCTGTGTTCAATACTCATCCAATATTGAACGTGCGGCTTGTCACCATCCGTCAATGCTGCCACTACAGGACTTTTCGAAAGGCAGGGAGTATCTTTCGGAGAGGGCTTCCAACGTCTATCTATCATTCGATAGCCAGGACCCCAGACAGTCGACTTCACCGATCTCCCTACCGTGGAATCTGCTGGTTTCTGCTCTCTGTCACCTTGATCAATCCTGTACCTAGTTCTCGAGAGGGGCGATCTGCTTCCTATTCTTTGACTGCTCTATACTGAGAGCCGGTTTTTGGGTGAAGTTGTAATTACTTCGCACCTCGCCCATCCACCACTCGCCTGTGGGGCTCCTACCTTAATTGGTTGGCTGGTGATCTCTCTGGCAGTCTCAGTGTACTGATATTGATTTTATGAATTGAGGTTATTATTGTGTTATTATTAATAGTAGTATAATATTTCTTGTAAATGTATTATCTTGTATTATTATTATTATTATTATTATTATTAATTAATTATTGATACACCTTTCAAAGTAATATGCGATAAGGACACTACAATGTAAGAATTCAAAATCCGATATATCTCTTCAAACCTGCAAAAGCAGTAATGTGCAATGCATGTATGTTATTTGCTGTGCGGAAGCACCTACAGCCTTCTTTCTTCTGCTATCTTTGCTCTTCTTTTCTGATCCCTTTTCGGAGCTCCTTGGCGTTGTTCGGTTCCTGCATTAGATACAATTGAGAACGATTCAGCATGATCATGAGCATGATCACAATGAAAATGCCACCTCCTGGAGACATGTTAAAGGCACAGTTCACGATAAAATGGTTTCTGGGATTTCCCCGTAGGATGAATTTGAGGCCCCTCTTATACCATATCTGGCGCTATCATGTCGGAAAACGGCCTAGTTAGGGCGCTAAAAGGGCTCATATATTGTCTTGCGTGTAACCTCAGTTTCACAGGCATTGTAGAGGCTGCCGGATTACAAAGGAACCCGTGTAGGAAGTTCAAACAACTTGTCATGGCCCATAGCGACAGGGAAAAGCAGATCTGTACAGTTCTGGCTTGATGATGTCGGCTCTTTGCGCAATTACAACAACCAAAATCTTGTCCGAACATCCGTTCCATGTTATTCTCGTTATGGTAATCTCGTCCAGCCTCTATTCTCCCAACTTTTGAGGAGCTTTATTTTTCTCGAAATCGGCGATTTTTCTCGCTTTCTTCACTACCAATGAATTATTCCCAACCTATACTTTCGCTTTTCGACTAAAAAGATGTACCTAAAGATTATCGTGAACTGTGCCTTTAATGCTGCTCTCGCTTCGTAGTTGAGCTTTAATGAGCACGCTCAAGGGCGGATGGTCCACGTCTATTAGAACTGTGGGCCGTCTGAAAAGCTAATAAATCATACACTCAAAAAGCTCTGTGGCCATCGATTACCTATAAAATGCTTCTGCTAAATCTGTCGTTCGCAGTTCCTTAAGACCTCATTTGCACTAGATATCTTTGAAGAAACCTCGCAACCATGTTTCTTGGAAGTCACGCAAAAATCTTCGCATTTTCTCTAAGCGTCGTGGTCCGTGGGGACGGGAACATTTGGGGAGCCCTCATCCTTTGCAGCAGTTGTCGGGGAAGAAATATCACCCTGAAAAAGCAAAAAACGTAACTGTTCGAGCCAGTCAATCGAAGAATTTCTTTGTCCACGTACCTTTCACTAATTCCCACCATTCCGTGAATGTCTCCTCTCTTTCTAGTCCATGGATGTATCTGCTCAGCCCCCTTAATCTTAAACCGATAAATCGATAGCCGATAACCTTAACCGATGACCTTGAATTTTAGTTATGAAAAGTTGCAAGTGTTTTCCTTGAGTCTCTTCACCAACGTCAATTCGTGGTGTTGGTCCTACATCACAAACTCTTTTCCGCTCCGCCACGCAGTGAACGCACACGATGCTTTCAATGGTTTTTCTTATGGGCTTCCAGTAGAACGTGAGAGAACGTGTTGTGTCTGGAATCCGTCATGTTAATACGTCATGCTCCCCACTTTTGCTTACCTGCCTTTTGTCAACATATGTTGGCACTTGGGTGTGCCCCGGATTTGTAGTAGCCGTAGCTGCCCTGGGGTCGTAAGGTTTTGATTCACGGAGCTCACAGTGCTTGCGGGTGCTGAAGGTAAATAGAAGGAATTTGGAGCTACAGCACTCGAGGAGCGGAAAGGGGAGGTGCAAGGGGTGGAAGGGGTGCAGATACATGAAATAGAGGTGGTACAGTATTTTGTGGTGGGCTAGCCAAATATAGGGATTTGTAGGAATAAGAAGGGGCAAGAGGAGCAATTAATCCTGAGTTGAAGCCGGAAAGACGCTGCGGTCGAATTCGTAGTAGTATAAGTCAGAAATCGTGCTCATGCGATGACAAACACTGTACAGAGGTGATTTATGATGCTTCCATCTGAGTGCTCAAATACCTCCGAGGGGCCTACCGGTGGTGTCCAAAGGAAGCTGTACAAGGTGTAAAAAAAATGTGAAAGGTCAATCTGTTTACTAGTTTGCCTGCAGGCGTCTTGTGAGAATGAATGCTGAATGCCTACACAATGCGATGGATTCTTTTCCCCTTTCTTATTATAGTTTCGATCGTTATTTTAGTCTCCACACCTTTTTTAGTTTTATTATTTGTGCGTTTCATGTTTTTTTTGTTTTGCTTTATTTCATTTTTCGTGCTTTGGATGTAACGGACTTTCTCACCCACACTGATATTGTTAGACGTGAGGCTAGTTGTCTGGCAGACAGGTCACCAGCCAATCAATTAAGGGAGGTCACCCTCCAGGCGAGTGAGTGGATGGGCGAGGAAGGTGTGAAGTAATTACAATTGGACCCATATTGACTCACCCCTCTATACTGAGGACTAGCTGCTTTATCTCTTCGTGGACGTTATTGGGTTCTATCCTGTGACCCTGAGAGTACTTTCTAGATTTCCTTGCTTGCCTATTTTCTCTAAGGCTGCGTAGAATTCTGCTAAGCTCCTAACCAGACCTTATCCTGAAATTTTATAGCTCGGTTAGCTCTCAATCTAACCTTCTAGAGCGGTGAAAACAGAACACAATTCGATTTCGTCCTTGTCAGGCACCGCGATCAGGTACTCGTAACAGATGCGAAGACAGTAGCTTATGAAACGGTCGCTGCACAACATCGACCGCTGATTTGTACGCTAAAGATCGCCCCGCCGAAACCGAAATTCGCCGAAAGGTGTGGGCCAGCGAGAATCAAGTGGTGGCGACTGAAGGAGAAAGAAAAAGAATCGGCCGTCGTCTCCCGCATTCTATCACCGGCGGTAACGACTGCCGATGAAACTTGGAAGAGTGCTGTCGAAGCGATAACCTGGGTTGCCCTGTCGGAGCTCGGCATGACCAAGCCTGGACGACGAAAGATTGACAAGCAAACATGGCTGTGAACGGATCATGTCAGGGATAAAGTACGTGAGAAGAAAAAGCAATACCACGCATTCCTTTCGGACAAGACAGCCGATACTTGGCAGCGCTATCAGATCGCGAAGAAAGAGGCGAAGAAGGTCGTTGCTTCTGTGAAGGCAGCTCATTTTGCCGAATTGAACGAAAAGCTCGAGTCTCGCGACGGTGAGCGGTATGTTTACCGACTCGCAAAGACCCGCCATCGCCAGACCGAGGATGTAGAAAGGTTCTTTGGCATAAATGACGAGAATGGTCACCTCCTGACGGACCGCAAGCAAACACTGAAACGATGGCGAGAGTACTTCGAAAACATCTCAACAGTCGAATTNTGGTATGCCTTACGACAGCATGGCGTTCCCGAAGAGCTTATTGTGTGGGTGCGTTCCTTTACACTAGCCCAAAGAGCCGAGTGCAAACGGCAGCGGGCACATCGGCGGATTTTCCCATCTCCGTCAGAGTACACCAGGGCTCTGCGTTATCCCCACTACTTTATGTTGTCGTCATGGATGCCATTACAAAAGACCTCCAGAAGCCGGCTCCATGGACGCTTCTTTATGCCGATGATGTGATGCTCGCCAGCGAAGACAAAAGCGAGCTCGAGTCACAGGTGCAGACCTGGTCCGACCGTCTGGCTATGTCGGGCTCAGGTTAAACGTCAAAAAGACTGAGTACTTGACCACTGATTCGAGCGAGCCAGGCTCTATCAAGATCAATGGCACTGAGCTCACACGGACAACAACCTTCAAGTACCTTGGATCGGCAATTGCGTCTGACGGCAGCCTGGGTTTTGAAACGAATTCTCGTGTGAATGCAGCGTGGTTGAAGTGGCGCTCAATGACTGAGTACTCTGCGATAAGAACATCCCTGAGCGTCTCAAATCAAAAATCTACAGAACCGTCATCCGCGCCGTCGCGGTTTACGGCGCCGAGTGCTGGCCTACGATCAAAGAAGTAGAAGCTCGTCTCAGTGTGATGGAGACCAAGATGCTGCGCTGGACAGCCGGAGTAACACGACTAGACCGCATAAGTAATGACGCCATCAGGGAGCGATTCGGTGTGGCGCCCATTGTCTATAAAATGCGCGAAGCCCGACGCCGTTGGTATGGCCACGTTCTCTGCGCTGATGAAGGCAGTGTTCTTAAGATCGGTCTCAACCTAGATGTGCCCGGAAAGCGGCCTAGAGGGCACCCAGAGCAGCGATGGCTCGATACGTTGCACGAAGACCTCAAAACGGTTAACATCCACCCCGATCAAGCGTCTGATCGGGAGAAGAGGCGTCAACATATCAGAAAAGAGGACCCCGCCTACATGCGGGACAGGCGCTAAAGAATAAGAAGAAGAAGAAGAAGAAGGTTAGCTCTCAATCTGATTTGCACGCTGGTAACCTCGCCATCTCCTTTGTCACCACCTCCAGAGCATCTTCCTTCACTGCTCTTGGCGGTGAGATGGATAGTTTTTGGCCTTCCCTGCTTAACGGTGTAATAATGGCCTTCCCTGCTTAATGGCTTAATATCGTAATTAATATCTCTCCGCAAGAAATAACGTCTCCACATTTCCGCTCGAATTTCCTTTAAAACTTTCGGAAATTCTCGACCTTTACCCGTCTATGAATCCCTGTTCATCACATGTCATAGCTCTTAGGAAGTTCACTACGTGCATATTCGTGCCCGTACCTCTGTCCACGTGTGCCGAGGTCGGTCTTTGGGTCGCTGTTTCTGTCAACTGTATGCAGTGCAGATGTCGAACCAGATGAATAGGCTGTTCCCTGGAAAGCGATATTCCTTTAGCACCGTTAATGGTTTGACCTGCATGTTCGTGCTTTACTTGCTTACCCCTTTTTGCGGGGGGGGGGGGGGGCCTCCCTATGTAGATACATCAAAACATCCATTTTTTCCTCCTTC